GCTGGCTGGGGAATTCTGGGAGTTGAAGTCCATACATCTTAAAGTTGCCAAGGTTGAGAAAAAATGCCAGGGAGTTCCTGGAAGCTTGACATTCAGACAGATCAACCATCAACAGACACAGAGATAAACCTCATCAATGCACCATTTAAGAAAAGACGCAACCAAAAGTCAAGGAAGGAAACAAATAGCCCAGAGCACATCCTCCTTAGCAGCTGACATCCAGATAAGCAGGGAACAGCACCAGATAAACAGTCAAAGAAGAAACAATACCCTAATCTAGGCACCATCAAGAAAGAAACTAGACCCCAGCCAAGATTGGCAGAGCAACCTATATATAAACAGCCAGCAAACTCCACTGTGGAGTAGCAAAAGGAACACAGTGTTGATGACTGCTGGGTAATAAATGCACCAGTCAGAAAACAGAAATCTCATTCTCACATAAAGTTTATTTAGGAACACTAGATGCATGTCAGGCTGTGAGGTTTAGGGTGTTTAAACTATAGTAACAATGTAAAAAATTACCTATTAACTTGGATCTAGAGATCTGTATTTACTGACTGTATGTACTATATGTACTTTTGCTTCAATGATACACCAACACACACAAAAAATGCACATTCAGAAATGTATCTAAGTGCTGACACCTTTGTTTATGCAAGATATGGTCTGGGCACCATAGTTTCTGTGAGCAGAAGAAAACATGAAATCAGCCTGATTACTTTCTTTCCCGATGACAATACCAAGATGTAGTTGCTCTTTCTGTTGTTGAAGACACGTAAGATGGGGCTAGGGGTTTATTTATTTTATAGCACTTATATGGCTGCCCAGCTTGAACAATGTGACTGTGGACAGTATACAAAAATCAGTAAACAAAGATACCAGAAATTCGATATAAACAATTAATTGGCAATTGGGAATTCAATTTTATTGCATTCTTCTAAGCAGGAGCTCAGATCATCCTGACTCAAATGTTCCAGGAAAGAGCCAGGTTTTCACTGCCTTTCTAAAGGCCTGCAGGGTTAAGGCCATCCATACACTGGAGGGAATATCATTCCAGAGGGCAGGCGCTGCTGTAGAAAAGACATGTCTCCTAGGTTCCATAAGATGGCATTATTTCAAAGGGGGGACCAAGAGCATGCCTACCCTATTGGATATCATTGGGAGAAGGTGGTCCTGCAAATAGCCTGACACTATGCCGTGTAGGGCTTTATAGGTGATAACCATCACCTTGAATTGCACCCAGAAGCCTATAGGAAGCCAGTACAGCTTACAGCTAGTGGTGTTGCATCTGTGTATTGAGCAATGCCCATAACTACCTGTGTGTCACCACATTCTGGACCAAGTGTAGTTTCAAGGGCAGCCCCAGGCAAAGTGCATTGGAGGAGTCCAAACAGGATGATTAGAATGTCCACAAATGGAGCCTCCTGATCTAGGAACAGGTGCAATTGGTGTACATGATGGTTGTGCAAATTTGATAAGTCAAATGCTGCAGGTGCTTAATGAGAATGGGAGCTGGTATAAATATCTATTGAAACACAAACGAGAAATCTTCATCTCCTACCCACAAAAATATGATATGGAGTGAAACTACGCAAGAATGTTACCAAATATTACATGAACTGGCAAGCAATATGTAATTTACAGTGTGCCATTATCACAACAAATGTATTGGTTTCCCTGTGGTGAAAAAAAAGTGGAATTCTGGTTTGCAATATAGCATCAATGTGAACATCTGAAGATGCCTGTTCCTGGAAATTTCTCTGGGATACACATCTATATCTTTGACCTTACTTTATTATCAATATCTACCTAGGGTATCGCTAGATTAAAAGGTGAATGACAGAATAAAAATAGCAGAGCTGTCAGAACAAAACATGGTCGTTGGAATCCTATTCCCACTCCTGGTAGCACCTTTTCCAGCTAAGAAATTTTATTAAAAGGCATAAGCTTTCAAGAGCTGCAGGTCATTTTATCAGATGGATATTTATTTTTTTTTGCCACCAGAGACTAACCCAGCTCTCATCCTACAGTGTGCCTAATGGCTGAACAAAGCTGTAGACCTAAGATCCTGGCAGGATGCATACTCAGAAAACCAAGGTTCCAGTCTGAAACCCTGTGCATGGAGCAGCATGAGTGAGAAAGGTAGGAAAGAACATGTTGCAAAAGTGGAAGAATATTTTTCTTGGAACTTTTATTCTATATAAAATTGGAAGTCTTCTTGAACTTTCTGTGATATTCAAGTACTGTAGGTCAGCATTAATCATAGGAGAACATGCAAGAGGGTGAGAACCACTGAATCCAGTGGGGCTTATTTCTAATTTTACATGCATAGAATGTATGTCTAATAATACATATCCTGATTTTTTTTCAATTATGAAAGCAGTGACTTATAAAATGCAAAATTATATGATAATCTAACTCTCCCCCAGCCCCGATTGAATTTCTTATAACAATTAGTCTGGAAAAGAGGCACTTTTCAATTCGTTGTCTGTTTAGGGAACAGAAGAGACTTTAAAAAAATTAAATAGACGTTTACTGTCCACAAGATGGCGCTCTGCTTCTGCATCAGAGATCCCATACCCTATAGATATTTTTTACAAAGTAAACAAAAAGGATCTTTCAAAAATGAGAGCAAAACTTGTCGAATATTCAGTTTCAAGATTTTTCCACTTGTAAATGTTCTAGAGCAGATGTCCATTTGCAATGGTTGATTAAGTCAGAGAAGTTATGACTATCTTTGGAATTACCTTGACCTTGTACAGTACAGGACCTCTCAGTCCAACACACAAAAAGACTTACAGTATCACACCAACTTTAAACCACTTGGAGCTATAAAAATCAATTCCTAAATCCTGAATTGAGCTTGGAAATGGATCGGCTGCCAGTTCAGCTGATGGAGACTGTGGCAATATGATTCTATCAGTCAGACCCAGTTACTAATTTTGCAGCTGTTCTGAACTACTTAAAGTTTCTGAATTGTTTTGCAAGGTAGTTCCCTGTGCAGCTCATTGCAACAATCCAACCAAGAGGTTATTCAAGTATGAACTGTGGTCAAGCTTTCCCAGCCCAGAAAGGTCATAGCTTGTATATCAGTCCAGAATAATAAAAGAGTCCCCTTCAGGGATCGTGGGAGATCTCATGAGCATCCTCAAAAGAATATCTAACACCTTCCAAAAGAAGCTGAAGGCCACTTATCTGAGCACTCCTGAATAATACCTCCCTCACATCTGGAATGCTGTTCAACCCATTGGCCTTCATTACCTTGCTCAGGCACAGATTTAGAACATGTACTGTCTTACCTGGATTATGTGAAAAGGAGGTAAAGCTGGGTGGCGTCTGTGCATACAAGCCGTTGGGTTCTTCTTAACCAACTCACTATTCTATGATTCTAGAAACAAGCACACGCAGAAATGAGTACAACTGTTTGCATTTTACTACTGGATACCATCTTGTAGACTGATCTGGGAATATAACTGAAAGATTGCATATCTAAATAAGCAAGTACCTTTCTTCCCTAATGTGCTACCTTTCTAGGTACAAGAGACTATTTTAATTAAATAATGTGATTACTCTACTAGTTAATTATGGAAATATGTACAGGTGGTCCTCGTTTAACAACCACTTATTCAGCAATCATTCACACTTACGATGGCACTGAATAAGTGATAGTTATGAGCGGTCCTCAGAGTTCCAGCCATTGCAGCATCCCCACGGTCACATGATAGCAGTTTCTGATGTTCCCTATTGGCTTTCCACAAGCAAAGTCAATAGGGAAGCTGGCAGGAAGTCAGAAGTGGTGGTCATGTGAGGTCCTCGCTTAACAACGGCAACTGGGACTGCTGGAACTGCCATCGCTAAGCAGTGCAGTTATGTGATGTCATGCTTTATGACCACGTTGCTTAGCAATGGCAATTCTGGTCCCAATTGCCATCGTAAACCGAGAACTACCTGTATTCCCTGGAGTACTATGGCATGTGCTTTGGCTGAACACAAAAATCTCCTCTCTTCCCCATCCTGCCCCCCCATCTGTTCACTTACATAT